TTAATACAGTAATAGGTTCACACATAGCCAGAAATTTTCATCTTGCCAAACTTGGCATTTACTTTCCATTTAGCAATTTTGTTCTTTTGTTAATCTGATTTCAGTTGACCTCTGAAATTCTTCAGTCTTGAGCCTATTATTTCTACATTACCTGTATCTAAAATTACACTGTGTATTGTTAATTCTGCAGATAAACAGCAGCAGCAGTAATGGAGCTACACAGTGACTGGCAGTGATTTCATGCCTTTCCTGGTAAGTAAAGCCAGTAGTAGACTGGTGTATTCAGGAGCTGGGATTCTAATAGCCCTTTTCCTCTAGTACCTACTTGGCACACCTTGGCTAGACTGGGATTTTAGGCGTTTCCATTACGTGGTAGTACCTGGGATCAGGTACATTTTTAGTACCTACCCAGCTGGGTTTCCAGTCCAAAAATATGACGTCAACAGACAGAATACCACTAATTGGCTGGTCAGTAGTGTCACTCAGTGAGTCAAGAAAGCGACTTCTTCCATTTTTGAAACCTGGCAATGAGGGAAATGGCTTCACAGAAACATACACTGTGGTGTTTGTGTCACATACAGATGTCGTTACTGGACTTTCGGATGCGTTGCTATAACGACTGCAAGCACATTTTAGGATTCAATTGTAATGGAAAGTGTCTGAAACGGAGTCGAGTTGAGCCGAGTAGTTACTAGTGTAAAAGAGGCATAAATGGCCAGCTTACTTCACTGGTATGTCTGCTGATGTAACTTGTAATGATGAGTTCACTTTTTTGCCGTTTACCCATCAGACCAAAATGGGCTGCTGAGAATGTGACTAACTGAACTTAAAATTACTTTTAAACCCACATAAATCATTTATTCTCATTTGACTGACTATATACTGTATATTTGTTAGATGTACAAGGTTTTGGAAACACTTGAATGACGTGGGAGTACACAGAGTGGCCACAATTGAAAGGTAAGTAACAGGTTCTAGCCCTGTCACTTTGGTTTTTCAGACCTGCACATGCCACATTGAGCTCAGTTTTTTTCCCCCCTTTCTTGCTTACAATTTAAAAATGGATAGTTACTTTTTTTTTTTTAAAAAAAATTTTTATGCACAATTGGTGGGGGGATTTGTCTGCAAGAAAAATATCTTGACTTAAGTGTATTTTGGATATTTAATCTTGGATGCAATATTTTTAAACATGTACTGGATTCAGATTTTTATCTGCATTCAGCACGTATTTATTTGTTTGGTTGTATTTGATCAGTGTACAGATTTGAAATGTAAAAATAAAGGAGTTTAATCTTGTGTTGCCTACCTGCATTTTGTTAAACAACCTAGAGAGGCTTCACTCTTCTGTAATGTATGTGTCTGCTCCAGGTGCGTTGGTGTAGATGAACCGTAAGATAAGCTGATGGAGCTCATCCAGAGCAGCGTCTCGCTTGCACAAACCATCCACATCTCCCAGGTCACAAGGAAACACTGGATCGGGTGGAATAATGAGAGCAGAGGCACCTGTATGAAGAAGAGAAAATCCTGAATATATTGTATATTATATTGGTGTTTGATGCTTTATTATCTTGAGTGTTATATATTGATCAATAAAATGAGCCATGCTTATGAACAGAGCCATCGAGTAATGTCATTAAATTGCTAAATATTTACTTTTTAGTGTTATGAGGAGGTGTGAGAATTTAAAAATGAAATAAATACCATGCTTGAGTGAGACTGAGCTTTCATAAAGGAGTACAGCGATCACAGCATCCTGCTCTAGTACTTGAGTTCTGAGACATAGTTTGCAATGAGCCTCAGCCAAAGAGATCCTGTGACAAAATGAATACACAATGTGAATGTCTGCCTCTGTATTCAGTGAGACCTTTCTAATACACTGTAGGACAAGTAATCAATAAAAATGTTACACTTAAAATGTAAGTGGATAAATCAAGACTGGCTGTGTCTGTACAGTATAATGTGGCCTGCCCTGTTTGGCCTTCTTACTGAGAACATTTATTTTCATAGTTTTAGCTGAATATAAAACGTGTCACCACAGTGGGAAAGATTTGTAAACATTTGTCAAAGTTGCATGAAAAATGGTCATTACGAGCAGCAATAGAGTGGGCTTGCACCACCTGGTGGGTGAAGTTGACATTACAGCAGACTTTGACCTCTGCAGTTTAATATGCAGAAAGTAGAGATTGAATGTAAAAAGCCAGTAAAGCACTTACAGCAGTTTGATAGAGGCCACAGACATGTTGACACCCTGACCCTGTGATCGCACTCTGCGGCTCGCCATGTAGTAACCATGGATTATTTTCTCCGCTGCAGGGCTGAGCTCCACTTGCAAACCTTGTGCATGGGCCACCAGCTGAAGAATATAATAGTATATTAGCAATATAACATAATTTATAATATAATATTAATAGAAGATGTTTGTTAACCTCCTGATAGTCTTGAGTGGAAAACTCCCAGCAGGGTGGGTCATGGGGTTTCCCAGACTGTACTGCATGCTGGAGGGTGTGGACAGTCTGGGCAAGCAGGGCCTGCTCTCCAACCCTGTCTCTACACTCAATGACAAGGCCAAAAGCATCTGCCAGTTGAGTTGGTACAGCACCCATTTCCTGCTCACAGTAAAGAAAGCTGTCAGTAAACCTTTATTTGATTGGTTTGGTTATATTTCATTATTCACCCCTTGCCTACAAAAAGAGCAACACAAAGCACTGATTATCCTCAAGGGTTCTGCTGTGAAGTAATATCGCCTGGGCAGGGCACTTCCTTCAAGAGCACTAAATTGTCTCAATTTCCTGTTTTGCCTGTAGCACCAACAAACAGCATCTAAGCTGAAGGAAAGGGGCCTTTTTTAAAAAAACCTGTGTAATATGCAAAATAAGTTACAAACATAAATCTAAACTTAGACCCAGTAAAGCACATTCATACAACAATAACTTGATGGAACTGAACTCACTGCTGCTCCCAGTGCGCCACAGTCTGCCCTCCCAGATCGACGGGAGGAGTCTGTGACGGCCCAGAAGCTACACTGGACTGGAAAGGAAAGCTGCTGGTCTGCATCCTCACCATATTTCTTTCCAGGGATGAACACTGATAGTGTGCGGGTCTCCATAACTGGAAAAAATTTTGTTTAAAAAAGATCCATGACTTTTATAGCTGACATCCTTTTAAGGTTATTGTAGCACTTACATTCGTTACCTGACTTAATGGAATCCAACTTGTCCTTTCTGTAATAGCTCAGATCTCCCAACAGGCAAACACCCCCAGTGGCTAGCAGGACGGAACCAGCATGGATGTTAGCAGTACCTGCTCCATGTTCATCCCGGGACAGGCATGCGAACATCTCTCCCGTGGCCTGATGCCTGATCCCACGATAGGCCAAACTCAAGCTGTATGTCATCAATCTAACACAAAAGGATAAGATGATGGATGGATAATGAGGACGATTTGATCATAAGTGTGGTACCTAGTGGGTCCATTTAGGTAAATGGACTGGTTCTTAAATAGCACTTTTCTATTCTACTTGAGCACTCATAACGCAAGCATGTGGTTACACACTGCTGTGTGATGGTGTGTGACCAAGCTCGTGCCCAGCATGAGGAGGTGGTGCCAGGGCTGTTGTGGCTGTTCATGGTCCTTCCACATGTTACTGAGGTCGTGGTTTGTTAATTAAGAAATTGTTAAATTGCCATTATGTCTTCTTTCTTAAGACTTCAATCCTCCAGTCCAATAAACGAGACCAAACAAGAGTAAATAGCAGAAAAAGCTGTTTGGCATTGGCAGATAAGATTTGGCAAGTTTTTATGGGCACAACCCACAAATGCATTTCCTTACAAACGTGGCACCATTTAAGGGAAAATAAACAGGCTTTCCAACAGTGTAAGATTTATCGCCAACAATCATTGTTACAACACAGAAATAATTGATCAAACACAAATTTCCTTACTTTTTGTTCTAAGTATACATCCCTGTTTAGGATGCAGTAGGTTTCAGGAATCAGATCATTTAAAATTTGTTTACCTGTCGAGTATAAGCGTGTCAGTGGTGACAACAAGGAGATCCAAGTTGTGAAACGTGTCCTTTTCATCTATTCTGGTCTGCACCAAGCTAAGCAGCAAGCTCAGCTTCAGAGTGTTGTACAAGCCTTGAGGAGCCACGTCCAACCCAAAGCAGTGAGCTACAATTGCAGAGAACCTCCACGGAGACGAGGCCGTTCCCTTCAACAGCTCCTGGAAGCGGGCGCTGACTTTACAGTCACCTGTAAGTTGAGTTGTAAAATATGGTCTTTTACTACAATTAAAAATATAAAACCTGAGACTTCACTGTATGAAGACAAATTTAATATATCTGCTATTCATTCTGTAATTTTAATGGGAGATAATTCACAGGCTTACACACTGGTTCCCACGGCTGGACACTATTTGCCTCCACACTCCAGGTAATGTTGGGCCACTGGTGCACATGTGCAGGAATGCCCAACACCCGGTAATATCGCCCGATTCTCATGGAGTTACACAGCTCGTCTACATGAGTAGGGGAAACAAAGCATTAACACTCAAAGGAGTTGTTCTCGGCTGCCCGGTGATTACTAAAGAAACATGCATGCCACCTACAAGCCACTGCCAAGAGAAACAGAGTGAGGACTTCAGAACAAAGATTTCACTGTGTGCGAACTGCACAGCCAGCTAATGAGTGTTCTTTGCACTTATTAACATATATGTTTAGTAACGGGAGCTCGCTGTATTGAATTCCTCCACAGGACTGGGTCAACAGAATATGTTAATCCTGCTGCAGAGATTTGCTAAGCTCTCAGGGGTGCTGGCGGGACAATGTTATTCGAGGGGACAGAAACACTTAATATCCTACCATGAGGCACCGTGCTCAGCCGGCTGCACTAAAATCTATTTATTTGAACTCTCCCCCACCAAGTTTGTGTTTCAAAGCGAACCTTGTTTAACAAGCCAGAGAAAATTAATGGCAAACCTCAATACATTTGACTGTAAATATAAGCCATTATAACCACATTTCTCAAGAGTAATGGATTAAGATCTTATTTTCCAAACAAAACAATAAACTTGCATTTTGAGGATATTAATCTGCAGTGCAGTTTGATTTTAAATGCTTCAGTTTACAAATGAAAACCAAGGAAAAAGGATTAATCACCTTACAGGGTGGGGGCAGAGTCTTTTCAAATAACAAGCTATTTGGTTTTCTGCTGCGTGGTTCAGATGTTTTATAGCGAAGATTTGTTTTTGTTACGGAGCTGTTCTCTGAATCAAAAAGCCAAGGTGCACAAAGTCCTGTTTGAACCAGCAGATCAGTGCTGACCTTCACGAAGGAGCCGTCACACTCAGTACTGTTGGTGTTATGATTTGTATCGTCTGTTTTAGGATTAGGCTACTCTGATGTAAACGTTCGGTAATGCAATGTGTTTCTGCTCTTGGGTATTATTAAGTGTGATCATGATGTATTGTAATGCATGCTAGTGCATATTTTTCATCTTCTGCCACTGCCTTCACCACTCCCAAAAAAGCTATGAGTTTTCTTCTCCATTATTCACGCTGCTAAAAACAGTTGCACACTGCAGACTGTAGACATACCTCTGAGAAACAGGGTAACAGACTGGTATCTCATTGAGCTTTGCTCATGGCCTCTTAGAACATCCAGTGCTTTGACATGGATCAGCTCCACCAGCTGCTTGTCTATACCCCAAAAAAAGACACATACATAATTACTGTGCAAAAGTCTGGAGCCACTTTATATATTGCAAGTCAAATGGGAAATAGGCACAATGATTTACTGAACCATGGGTAAACATACATTAGAAATACAGCATATTAAGCAGCAACAAATTTCTTATAATTCCAGACAGATCACAGCCTGGAATCTCTTAGGCAGCTTTCTTGTCATTTCTCTAAGTAGTCTTCAGGATTAGTTCTCCAGGCTTCCTGATGGACATTCAAAGCACTACTTTGGATGTTGGCTGCATTTTCGTTCCATTTTCTCTCAAGATGATGCCACACTGCTTCAATCATTTTGAGGACAGGGTTCTGGAGAGGCCAATCTATGACTGGCAGTTTATTTGGGATCATTGCCATGTTAAAAAATGAAACTGCTGCCAGTGAGATGGGTTCCAGATGCCACTGCATGGTGGAATAAAGTCTGACGTAACTTTTCAGCATTTATAATTGCTTAAACTTGATAAGATCCCCGACACTACTGGCTGAAATGTAGCACCAAACCATGACATAGCCTCCACCATGTTATTGTGGCTGTTTTCAGCTGATTTTGTTGATGCAAAAATACTATTTTATATCTTTCAAACTGTGTTATTGCTGCATTTTTCAAAGATTCACTTAAAAAAATGAATAAAAATTGTGTTTTTGTAAAAGGCTGCCAGTAACATAGTGTCTAAAGATAAATTTAAAATTGATTTATTACGAAGTTTTGTTGTATGTGTATACAGGACGTGACCCAATATGCTTGAATGATTTCTAGTTCAGTGTTAGGTGATTTAACAAAGAGAAAACAAACAAAACATCATTCCTAAGGACAGATACAAGTATGGACCTAAAACTGAGTGAAAAAGCAGCCAATGTCCAAAGAAAATCTTTGAAAGACCT